CGAATGTGAGAAGAATAATCGACTGTGATTGGTCAATTTCTTACTCTTACTTCTTACTCCGTGTATTGTAGACGGGCCTTTCCTCTTACTTTTTACTCCGTGTATTGTAGACGGGCCTTAAGTATGGATCTACAGTAGGTGTTTTAAGCCTTAAGCCGTAAGAAATTGATCAATTAGTCCGGATCTACAATAGGTGTTTTAAGCCTTAAGCCATAAGAAATTGACCAATTACAACACAAACACGATCGCGACGTTATTACTAACGGTAGCGTTTTACGTCATGACAGAGCGCTATCAACGCTATTCCTTCCGAGGTAGTGTATTGATAGCGTAGTGTTTGCAGGATTGAACAGCATCACTATAATATCACATGGGTCGAATATAACAAAATAATCGATTGATTGATAAATTTCTGCTTCCGATTTATTACTATTGCTTATTGCAGAAAGCCTGGTATTGCTAATAAGAGACTTTCTGCAATAAGCAATAGTAATAAATCAGAAGCAGAAATTTATCAATCAATCGATTATTATATTATATTCGATTTTGATTGATCAATTTTTAGCTTCTGACTTCTCATTTATTTCTAATGGCTTTTTGTAATATTACTGGTTATTGTATCTATTCATCGTTAATAAAATCTAAGGTTAACAAAGTCTCAATGCAATAATGCCCGTAATGCCAACGCTACCAACGCTACACTAATGTCGTTCGCGGAGCTTGCAAACGCTATCGCGCTATAGGCTCTACGAACAGCGTTTGCGTTCATAGCGCGAATAGCGTCTTCCCGAACGCACCCAAAATACGAAGCAAAGAACAAAAATAAAAAAGTAATCTAATATTCTAAGAAATGCAAACTGAATTAATTAGTAGTAATAAAAAAATGTGTGATGTACAATTACAAATTTACTTTGTAAATTGTACATCACACATTTTTTTAATACATAATAAACGCTTCTGTCCTGAGGATTTAGTACAGAGACGAACCACATCTTCGACTTTCGACGATATGATTTTATCGATAGTGTCAGAAAACGTATGTAGTCACTAGTTCCCAAACTGAAAATGGATGTACTGGCGGTAATGTACTGAAAAAAGAAATAGTCCAATGTCCAATCAGAGAATCCTGAATCCTGGCATAGCGGCTACTTCCGGTTTTATGAATCTCCATTCCTATCCTATGCTATCCTATTCCCGTCTTTCGGTGTCAAGCTTTGAGGCAAGATGGTGAGTGTCATGCAAATTCCTTCAGAAATCCACTTTTTTCGAAGAAATCTTGTGTGATACGTATCAAACACTCAAATAAGATGATAAATTTGTCGTTTTCGAATTTATCTCCAAAATATTTTAACAAATTCGCGGAAAAAATGACCAGCCGACGTTTTGAGGTTACGTCGCAGGCATATTTTGCGACTAAGTTTTTTGTTGGTTGAGCGTGCTTCATGATATTTCGCGATGATCGCAAAGATTCGACGATTTCCATTCATCAGTCACGCGCCAGGCAAAAATTCGTCCAACTGTCCGTGATTTTTCGCGCGTCGTGATTGAGGTTAGTTTCGTGTATACATAATCATGTTGGCTTGTTTTCCAGTCGCTCGTGATTCCTGAGAAGTTCCAACACATTCTTCGTGTCATGGGCACGAACATCGACGGCAACAGGAAAGTCATGTTTGCTATGACCGCGATCAAAGGTGTTGGTCGGCGTTATGCCAACATAGTCTTGAAGAAGGCAGACATTGATTTGGACAAGCGAGCTGGAGAATGCTCGGAAGAAGAAGTAAGTTTAGCCGTTCTACATTTGTGAAATACCTTACAATACTGACGTATCCAAAATGCTTTTAGGTCGAAAAAATTGTCACCATTATGGCTAACCCCAGGCAATATAAAATTCCTGATTGGTTCCTCAACAGACAGAAGGACATCGTCGATGGAAAGTACTCACAGGTATGCATCTGTTTTTTTTTCACAAAAGAAAAGGATCAGATTCTGAAACACATATTTTATTGTTGAAAAATGTAAAATCATACATTCGGAGAAACGTTTCTCAAACATGGAATTGTAGATCCGAATAAGTTATTGAAATTCGACTGGCATAAAGATGTATAGATATAAAGATATAACGATGATTTGGATAACAATCATTTATCTATTATTGTAATACATCGTAAAAGTTCCATTGCACAAATTCACGACTGATCGTGCATATGTCATTGTACCTTCAGCTGGTAGATTGTGCAATAGCAACTGCACTGCTGTACATTTTTATTGCTTTATAGTATTCCTCACTATATCAAGTAACAGGTACGAGTGCAACAGAGATCAAATTATATACATGTAATCTTATGCAAGTGTTAATAAAGTCACAAGGTATCTTGAAAACTTTGTATTATTTTACAGCTCACGAGTGCCAACTTAGACTCTAAGCTCCGTGAGGACTTGGAAAGGATGAAGAAAATCCGTGCTCACAGAGGGCTGCGTCACTACTGGGGTCTCCGTGTACGTGGTCAGCACACCAAAACTACAGGCCGTCGTGGACGCACGGTCGGTGTGTCGAAAAAGAAGTAAACTTTTATATATATATTATGTAATATTAATAATAAATCTTTAAACGGTAAATGTTTTTATTCGACCAACTTGAATTGTGAAAAGGAAAATCATAACGGTTAAGAGGCACAATGTTAAATACAAGAATAATTCCATCGTGTTGTATGCTTTAGTCATAGATTAGTGATTTATTTAATTAAATTGAGATTAATCTCTTGGTCCTGAAATAACGAATCACTTTTCAAGCCAAGTAAGATAGCCATTATTTCGACTAATTCAAGCTGAAAATAAAACTTCGCGAGAGAGCAGTGCGCTAAATTGACTCTAAATGCAATTGACAATAGACGATAGCTTCTAAGTGCATTAACGATGTATTATAAGCGTTTCCACGTATACTTTGGGCACCTTTCCTTGTTGGTTGCCTCTAATGCCCATGAAGTAATCGTCGTCGTCGGGAATTTTGTAAATACCGATTACCTAGAAAAAACATATATATACCTCCTGTCTCTCTCTTTTTCTCAAGATATTCAATTTATTAAAGTATAACTTTATACACAATCTAATTAGTACATCATATTGATTATAATATACAGGCACGCATTATATATAGCGTCACTATAGATACACATCGAAATAAGCGTACAAAACAATACATAAAAAATACGATAGTCGTGACACAATAAATAAAATGCTCGTAACAAAGTAAAACGGTAGGCATTTCTTGAACATGCACAATTTGAATAAATATACAATAACTCGTCACGCACAAATACATTTATGACTCTAGCCGTTCGCGATGTGTCCTGTATTCTTGTTATCTTACAAATCTATAGCAGAGAAAACGTGAAATTAATACGTGATGTTAACGACACATCGATTAAAAAACGAAATTTAACAAAGCGCACGTAAATTCAAACTAATTGAAAATTACAATATATGTCTAGCATGCACAATATAATACAAATCAGTGTGTACAATTAGGATGCAGATATAACTGCTAGTCTTATGAAGATAAATAGATTTTTTAAGACGAATTACTTGATTAATCGATATTTCGTATTATATTTTACGATTTGTAAGATAGAAATTATTTTTTTAAAGGATTGCTGAAATATTCATATTCAGATATTCTCGAAACTTTGCAAAACAATTTATGTATTATTAATGTTGCTAAAAGTTACTGTCCTTTACTGTTTTCCATTTTAGCGTGTGTATCCATTCCAAAAATGTTTTTCTCAATTGTCTTTGTATTGATATTAATGCATTGCAGGAGTATTATATAAGTTTTTGCATTTTTTGTTTTTCTGACAATACATAAGAATACGAATTTTTCAAGCTTTCTTTCGAGAACAATATCTAATATCTTGCAAGTTAACAACATATTAGCTGCTTGAAAATAAATGCATCAGTACAATGTTATTAGTATTAACAGAGAGCTCTTAAAGTTATGCAAGTATATATGAGCGTCTCGCGATTTGAAACGTGTACTTATAATAACAAATACTTAACTCTATAACGCGTATTAAAAGAAGTTCAACATCTCGGGACAGTATCTTAATCCTTTCGGGACGGGGACCTTTCTCTGGACGCGTCGGGTATGAATTTTTTCCTCAGAGCCTAGGTCGAGAATCGAAAATCGATGATAGTCCCGAAAGATTTAAGCCTAAAACAAGTCTTACACGATTGTTCGAAGGAAATACAAAAGAAAATCTCTCTACAATATATATTTATACAGAGTGATTAAAAAAAAAGGCTATAAGTAGGTGATCTTACAGTACCGTAACTTAACCCGACTACAGATTCATGCCCTTCGCTCGAGACATCACCAAACATGCTGTTGAGTACCTAAATCACAAACTTCGTTACCTCATCCTGCATGACGCTTAGCTCGCTAGGATCCCTCGCGTCGTAATTGCACAATACTCTTGCTCTGTCCTGACCGTTCTCGGCTAGTGCGTTGGTGATGGCTGGTGGGGTGGTGTAATAGGGACCCCCAGATAGGCTGGGTAGGTAAACGATAAGTGAATTTATAGTGCTATAATCTTATCTATAATATAAACTCGTGTACGAGGGAAACATGAGGGTAGGAGACACAACTAAACTTTTAAGCGACTTTTTACGAGGATCATACACTGCCATACAACGTGAATATATTTAAATATCATTTCACGTTTATAATCAGGCACACACTCACCACGAGACTCTACATAGTCGTTACTTCACATTGAGCGAAATAATAAGTATTTGATTGTGGTGAATTGGATCAGTATGCATGCAATTTAAAAGATCGAATTTTGCATTAAAAACATTTTTTATTCGGCAAATTAGTTTGTTCTTTTGCGGGCATGTGTATTTTCAATTCTACTGGTTCAATTACATGCATTATTGTTACATGGTTTACCCCGATATTCCCCAATATTATGAAAAGAATGGAAAAATTTATTCTTTCCCCCCGCAGTACATAATACAGGCAGATTATCCAACATCCTAATATAAAAACAAGAAAAGCGTGATATGTGTCTACGTTTATGTCGTTGTTTAGTTACATGGCGCATCAGGATTAATTTTTCTTTGATGCCATTATGGCCATTCTCGGCCGAGTTACGGCGATCTAAAGCAATTGTTTTCGAAAGGTAATACAAGAACAATAAGAGGTGGTAGTATAGAAGAAGATGAAGATAAGATATGTAAACCGCACTGATCGCCGTAAATCGTTCACAAAAAATTTATCGAGAAAGATACTTTGTCCGTCCTATTTATCTAAATATACAATTGCATGTACAATTATACAACATTATAGAGTATTTATTGATAGGTAACAAGTCTGCAACGATTAAGCGACAATCGGAATCAAGCTTTTTAACGTGTACATGTAACTTGAATGAATGTCGTTAAAATGGGAAAATTGCGTGATAGTTCACGTAGATCCGTTAATTGAATTGCCAACTGGATTCGAAATTTGTAATGACACGTCAATATTCGTACTCGAAGGGTTGAAAACTAAATTTTACTGGTATCAGTGTCGAATGTGGCGGTAACGTAAGCGGCAGATCCGGCGTTTACGGACGAATTTTGAGGGAGAGTGGGCGAAGGATTTAGCTCGATCACTTCCTCGCTGTTGACTCTCAGCAAAGGGCTCGGTTGACGCGCCCTGCAATTACCAATCGTGCAAGCAGAGATAGAGAGTAGCGGGAGAGAACACGCTCCAACAGATTGCACGAAGGCCGAGGAAGCAAGGAGTAATTAAATAGATAATAAAAAACAATTTACATCTATTACTAGCGATTGTTACAATGTTCAGGACAGGATGCTGATATGGAAGCAATTAAATCATGTCGGCATTAGATCTGGTATAATTGATCACACAACGGTTTCACCGAGGTCAAGCAATCTTGAAACTTTAATTCTACTGTCAGTCGATTAAAGGTTAAAATTAATTAATGTTGGTGAAACTAGCTGTAATAGGTAATGTTCGTCAAACCATCAAAACTGCATCTTCTGTGTGAAACATTTTTATTATGAAAAATTTCATCGTGTCTTTTTGTCCAAATCTATGCCCGCGATTGCTTGATAAGGAAAAGCGGAGTTTACGAATCGATATCTAAACATACTTAATAACATTCAAGGTTTGTCAAACATTACTCACTCGGATCACCATAAAGTAGGATAGCTGTACAGAAATGTTGCAATAACAGTATGCTGCACGAGGACAATAACGTGCCAAATACAGATTGAATAGAGTAGGTAGATAGAATATTTTTAAAAGAAAAAAGAAATCCAAAAAGTGGTGAAAGCAACCAACTTACCCAGCAAGGTCACGCTGTAAATCTTGCATGACGGCGTGGCATTGCGCATAATGACGTGCTTGCGCTTCTACGAATTCGTGCAAGCATCGCAAATGTCCGGCCTGTGAGCTCGAAACACCTTCCAGCAGCAATTTCACGATTTCTGCTTGTCGATCGAATTCTGATTGCGCTACCCTCAGCTCCCTCTCTGCCTGAGTGAGCAATATATATATTTTATTTATTGTTTTCTCTGTATATATATTTTAGTATCTGCTATCTAAGATGAAGTCAGAACTATAATGATTGTAGCTATGAGACGTAGCTATCGCTATTGATTCGTATCGTAAGAAAGATTATGTGTCGCTTCATGATTCAACAATTGTTACTACCGCTTTTTTGCTTTTATGTATACAGATTATGAGACTATTATGATAATGCGTAAACGACAAGAACATTAGCACTTTACTTTAATATCTATAAAATTTAATACATATTTCTAAACGATAGCCATGAAAATTGTTAATGCGATCGCATTAGATTTGGATTTCTCTGAATTGAGAAAACAAGCGAAACTATCGATTGCATTAATACCTGATCGAGCAACACTTCGGGCGATATGCCGGACTCCTATAAATCGCAGCAGTGTGGAGGACAAAACACATCGTAAACGTATAGAACAATTTTTAAATAATATCGACAATTAACGGTACTTACACTCTGTTGACCCAGCATGCTCCTCGCTTTCCTCACTCTATTTTTACATGCATCCAAGTCCAATCTACATTAAAATCATTTAACATGATTAATAAAACTTTTAGTATGTACAATAAGGATAAGCGATTTTTACCTTTTGGTTTCCAATATCGCCATTTCCTTGCTGACGGTTTTCATTTCTCCATCCAAGAACTTTCTCAAAGGCTGTATGTAACAATTGGCGGCAGTTCCTATAAAGTCCCTTTCGATCTGTCCCAATCTCTGCTGGCATTGGCCGACTTTTATTAATGCGCTACCTAAAATCAAATCTTACATCAAGTTCTCTTGCATTATACATATATGTGTATATTTACGAGAATATATTTGACATTAACCATAGGCTATCCCTGGACCAAAATCATTTCCAGCTTCTATCATATCAGTGCCTACATATTCCAAATTGCTCAACCTGTTAGGTCTCCTCTTATCGATTTTTTCATAAAAGAAATCTTCAATCCTATTACCTGCAAAATATGTCATCTTAGAATTAATGATGAATTATACATATAGAAGATTCTATTAAATAATGTTAAAGTGTTGACAATCAATTTTTTTATCAAAATTCAAATCTAATTAAATTAATTTAAATTGAATACCAGGATTTGGAGTAAGCACAGCTTCCATATTCCGCAGTATCTTTTCTGTCCATGTTTTGGTGGCATTTCCTCTTTCTGCTAGGTGTTCCAAATGCGCATCTAGTTCAGTTTTTTCTGAAGTACCCAGTGTCTCTTCTGTCATCTGAGAGACATGAGAGAGCAAACATGATAATCTTGAATTTTCTTGGCAATTTCTAACGTTTCTAATATATAGCAACGCTCTCAATATATAGTATCTCTAATGCTCTTAAAATATAGTTGCCAATGAACAAATGCGATTTTACGATTTGCGTTCAAAGTCCGCGTCATTATTGCGATGCTAATACAGCATCAGAGGAAGACGCGTTCTCATTTGATTAAAGAGCAGCGTCATTGGTATCGGCTGACGACGTTGCACGTCGAGACGAGACCAGGGATCTAGGTTAAACGAGATGACATTGGACGTGGATTCCAGTTCAACGAGAACGAGGAGCAGCCAAGGAAGCCGTCCAATGACGTGCAAACGCGTTTGATCATTGCTTTCGGGCGTTGAATGTCAACGGAGACAAACGCCGAAAACGGATTCGAAATGCGTTCAACGTCGTTTCCTCGACGAGGATCCCAGACTTTTTTCGGATAGAACGGAGAACAAACAAAGAGGGGTTTCCCACCTGCACGACCCTGCTGAGGGCGGCTCCCGCATCCTTCACCAGCTTCTTCACGTTGAAATCCATCCTCGCGAATTAGATCTTTCACCCGATCGAGAACTCTTCCTAGCAAGCAAACACCCAACCCCCCTCTTTGCTCTCTTTCTCTTTCTTTTTGTCTCCCACGCTCCCTGTGCTTTGTCGTAGGATTCATTAAATACCTCAGCAACTTCCGGAATCTAGAGGTACTAGGAATTTTCAATCAGGCGTATCGCGTCTAGATATTCGTGCCTCATGCCTGTCGGCTAATCTGCAAACTATTTTGTTTATCGATCCATTTAAAATAAGTGAACACAAGGTCGTTGTGTTTGTCTGTTAAAACTATATCGCACGATACCACGTGCCATGTATCATTATCTATAATTTTCGAAATGTACATATGCATGCGATGTCATTTTTAATGGTTTTGTTGAAAGAAATTATTGTTACGTGGCAATATATTTATTAAATGTAGTCAAAGTCGTGAAATGAAACGACTCCTTTTCTATACAAGATAAAAACACGTTCGATGCACTGCTTATGTGCCGTTTATTGAATTCCATTAACAAAATGCAAACCTCCTCCTCAGAAAAAGATATATATAATAACAGCTATATATGTTCGCCCACTAACTTCTATCCGACTAATTATTAATGCTGTCTTCACACGTCCCTGCTCGAGAAATTAAAATTCTTGAAAACATTACCATTAACTCTGGAAAAAAAAATCGAAAAGAACTAATATGGCGATCCTTGGGCAGTAATCTCATAAATGATGATTCGACAATGAACAAGGAAGATTCGCGCCTGGAATACAAAAGTGTCAGACAACGTTGTATCACAATTTTGTCTAATACAATCAATTCTATTAACTCAACAATTTTTATAACGCTCCGTTGTACTCTAGTCTGATCTTCCTCTCACATTTCTAAAAAAAAAAAATGTATATCTTGTACAATATACGAGTCATGAATATGTATCGAATGAATATCCCAATTTTCGTAAATACGCTGGAATAAATCGCTGCGAAACATCACATAACGGTACACTGATGGAGCACTTGCATGCTCATTCAGAAATAGATTTATGGAGAGAATCAGTTCTTCTCGTAGCTGCTTCCTCTTGACTAACTGTTCCGAATCTCCAGTTTTATTTAACTAAACATTGCGTACATCCCACACATTATTTCATTCTTTACTTAATTATTAGGAACACATGGAGAGAGGATCTAGCACACAGGCGATACATGCCTCTTGGGAGTTGGTACAAAACGGTACCCTATAGAACAATTTGCGAGACCTTAAAAAGAATGTAACTCGCTAGAAATACAATCGTGCTTGAACGTGCAAACGCATTTGATGACTTTAATTTAATAATCTCGGCCATGCCAGCAATCTGTTACAACACGCGTGACGATCATATCCATTATTTTGTCGTCCCAGCAATATCCTTCCAGCAGTCGCAAATCGATACGCACTTGTGCCACAGCTTCAATGGCGCCGTTTCTCCAATTATTTCTCGTTAAAAACAGCTTAATATTATCGTATTAGTATTAATAATAGACAATAATTATCATAATAACGACAATATTGAATGATGATGCATCACATTGCAATGACGATCATTTCATAATCGGTTTATATTGGAATTCGTAAAACTTAAATTGTCTCTGATAAGAGGATTGAATATTTCAAACAATTGTGTTTTTGCGCTAATCCTTCAACGCAATCAATTGTAGGAATGTTAGTTTAATGTTTTGAGTCGTTCGTTATCAAGGCATTATTATACGCTATCGGCTTACTGGCCGATACTATAATTGGTTGTCAATGCGACCTTCCAATTGCCGATAGCTTTCGCGCTCGTGCCCGAGCCTCCGTACGAATATTTGTATACTCGAACCACAAGACATTAGGGATCAGCGTCGTATCACGCAGCAACAAAAACTCTGATATTCGCCTGAAGAATAGCAAAGATTAGAATAATATGAATGATATCATTATTAAGCAGCAGTCATCAGAGAAAGCAGCTTTGCAACTGTCGTAAAACTCTTTAATATTGTTGGTTTATATATTTAGATCTAATGAGGAACTACGGACAAGGCCCGTCATATCATACTAAAGAATTTTAGAACAGTTGCAAAACTTTTCTCTGCTGAATGCAGTATTATCGCTATTATTACACCATTTCCCGATACTCACCACGAAACTACTATAGGAAAAAACGGTGTCAGGATCATGTGCACGATTATGAACCACGCTGATCCCAGTGTAATCCCAATTAACGCACCCCAAATTACTTGGGTGTTGGAGTGGTACAGCAGATACACTCTGCTGTAAGTTACCAATAAAGCTGTGACAATGCATCCTATCGCTACTATTGTCCGCCAAAATCTCTCAGTTACCGTACAGTTGTAATTTAACCTGGAAGAGGAAAAATAATGCATGAGTGAACTGACAAGAGCGAGTGATATGTGATTGTAAAGGTATCTGTGATTTTTCATTACCTAAAGTATATAAAAAGTGTTGCGTATGCAGCGAAAAACCACATAAATTGTGCATGTGTAGACGGCATGCCGTATTCGGCGTACAGGCCATCTCTCTTCATCGGCCTTGCTTGACGAATCATGTGTTTTAATACATAATTTATACATTCATTGATACTGACTCCGGTAAAAAATACAATCTATAATTAAAGAACAAATTACATTTGCGAATCATAAATTAAATCTATATGAGTTATTATTACAATTGATGTGTATGTATTATTACAATTAACTTACAGTATGTAAATCCCTCCTAAAAAGTATCAATGTGATAAAACCAGTTATAATGGCAAAGGGCATTAGACTTATTACAGCCAAAAGCTGTCCAAAGATATCCCCTAAAAATTTATGAACATACATTATTGTCAGAAACAGATATTTTTTTATAATTTCAAATACACGAGTCTTTTCTTAAATTTCATCAAAAGATTGAATATCCAAAGCTTAGTGGTATAAATTAAACTGTTTGCTAAGCATATGTTGACAACTTTTTATCCAAAACGATTTCACAAATTCTTCAGTATTTTAACACATTACATCAATTTTTATAAATTCTATAAACATTTGCATATAATTAAATATTATGATGAACAAATGTGTCTGGATAAGTTTTGTCTACATGATTATGGCAGGGTGTAAAACAATCGGTAACGAAGCGAGGTGAAAACTCGGGATACTGACAATGAGAGGCCGTGCATTCGTACTGACCTTGCGGATACTCCACCAACGTTAGCGACAACGGGATCCATTCGGTCTCGTCAGCGGCACGTGCGAAACGTGATTCAATCCCGTCCAGCGGCTTGTCGGGCGATGCCATCGTTATCGTGGCTTGGAGGATGTGACATGTCTCGCACGGCGGCTTACGGTGAACGGACGTCGGCGGTTGGACGTTGGACGCGCACCGGCTGGACGACAGGAAAGGACGAGCTGGAGGGGAGAGAGAAGAAATCTCGTATTTACACCTGTGACTACGAGATTGTGGTCGTCGCGTTGTCATCCATAATCGCCATTGCCTGTTCTATCATTCTCGTCGCCGTCGCTGGCATTGACCTCGCTATAGAGTTATAATTGTAGCACAATGTCGACCACAATGTTGACGAGGTCGAATGTGCGGATTCGCCGACGGCCGACAGAGCCAGACAAGGCCACCAAACGGATCGTCGTGAAAGCAGGAGTTCGATGTCCCGTCCCCTCCTCCCCTCCCACCCTCTTCGAACTCGATCGGTTAGCGACTGCAGCGGCGATATGGCGATATTTCATAATTTTATTTATATAGCTACAGTGAGAGTAAAAAGTATTCGTACAAGGATATTTGTTATAAAAAAAGCCTTATTTGTAGAAAAGAAACATTAATTAGCAATTTTATACAATGCAATTGAATACATTATGTTCTAACATAAACAAACGAGCTTAGCATATGTATTCCTGATTTTAGAATCTAAATTTCTCGTCTGTACGAATACTTTTTGCACATTTAAATAATACAATTTTTAATTTTCGCTTATTTTTCGGATGATATATTTCGTATCATTAATACATATCATTTTGGTATATATAATTTTAAGAAACATACAGTCTATTTTATTCTTTATGAATAAATTGTTAATTATCCAGCAAGAAATGATCGTTAATTATTAAACGTCGAATCGTGACGTCAAATTAGTTAAAATCATCGAATTTATATCGATTCAACATCAATTCGATGACTCATTTCTCGCTAGATAATATTTATTTTTTAAAAATAAAGTTTTTTAAAAAATATTTTCTCTGTACGAATACTTTTTGTACTCACTGTATATACAGGGTGTCCCGACTTTTTTTGCCAATCACTTTTGTGTAGATAGAACGGATTAAACTGAGTCGAAAAGTCCTGTACTATTTTGCAATTTTCGCAATAGTTAACAAGATATTAATTACTAAAAATTGCAAAATATTGGTCTTGAATAATTTTTTACTCAAATACTAACTTCACAGAAAATCTGCAAGAGACAAAAATCATTTATTTTCTTCTCATAAAGTGCTGAGAATTGCAAAATGGTAGAGAACTGATATTGAAAATTGCAAAATGGTACAGAACTTTTCGACTCAGTTTAGTCCGCTCTATCTACACAAAAGTGATTAGCAAAAAAGGTCGGGACACCCTGTATATTTTATAATTTAATATAAAGAATAATTTTTAATACATCCAGCGTAATACATCGTAATACATCCAGCGGTAGGCTTACGTACATATTCCTTGTTTGATTCTTAAAAAGAGTTAGTTTTTTCAAAGTTTTGTGTTTAACCGAAAAATTTTCATACACTTGTAGCTACTCTCGGAAGGCAATAGGCAAACCACCGGGTAGTATACTTGCCCGGTAAACCTCCCTACCAAAAGTTGCCGTTCGGAATTGGCGTTTAAATTATAGGTCCCCATACGAGTATACGTACGTTGTGTTATACGATCAGTGTGCGCGCAAATATAAGGTATATGAGAGGGCTGATATCACAGAAATTATATTTTCTTAAACTGGTAAACACGTGTAAAATTAGCAAAAAACATACCGTTATCATCTGTAGTCGATATCGAGACTACAACCCCCCAGATAGTAATACTTCCACGGTATTAGTACGGTGAGCGTACGGCGTACTATTCGTGCCGATACTGTATTAAATATTAGACAGTAACTGACTGGATGTTTAGTTGAACTGCATAAATTTCTATTAGGACCATATATTTAACAGATATATCATAACTATACATCCACGATTATACAGGTGTTCGTGAATCATCGAAGTGCAGCGGTTTCCAGACGATTTCAGAAGTCGAGCATAGTAAATGGCGGTATGCAATCGGATGGGTGACCGCTCGAAGTACTATGAAATTAGTTCCCGAATTCAGGGAAAATCTTTTTTTTTTTTTTTCATCATAATTTTATGATGTGTACTCTAGAATAAGATAATTAGTCAATAATAATACTCATTTTAACAATAAAACTATCAAATTAATTAATTTTAATAACATGTACGGCGTACTAAAAGTACGGTGTACTGTACCCTTTAAGTATGCACGTACCTGACAGGTCCGTATCTGTACGGACCTGTCAGGTACGTGCATACCTAAAGGGTACAGTCAGAGAGAAACCGAAACCTGAGAGAGGCCATGGCGGCCTTTTTCGCGTGATAGGCGAAAGCCATCGTACGCTAGCGGCACCAACATCATTTTTATAAAATGATGTGAACTACGTATCGCATTATCGACACTGTCGATAAAATCGTAGTGTCGATACATGGATTTGGTGCTAAATCCACAAATATAATATTAATTTACAAAAAAATGTTTTTTTAATCGAATAAGGCGTTTTTTTATAGATTTTTGGATGCTGAAAACGATGCCGTGAGTTAAATTTCACTGGCACGTCAGGTGATCGAAATAATTGAAGTTTAATATGCAAAAATGACTCTTTTGTGATATTTAAAATGTTTTTGTTAAAAAAGATTAACTTTATCTTGAAATTGTAATCAAAAGTCATAAATGTA